AGACCGAGACCGGGACCGAGACCGAGACCGAGACCGAGACCGAGACCGAGACTGAGACCGAGGCCAAGGCTGAGACCGAGCCCGAACCCGAGTCCGAGTCCGAGTCCGAGTCCGAGTCCGAGTCCGAGTTCGAGTCTGAGAGGGTGAAAGCCCAAAGCGTTCGTCTCCCAGACCCTGGGGGGTTTGGTGAGCTCCAAAAGTATAGTAAGGGGGAGGACTGCAATGGAGCCAATTTGGCCAGGAAAGGCCAGTTTGGCCCAGGAAGGCCAGACCCAGTGTTGGGTGATGAACTGACCACTGGGAAGTCCAAGACTAGAGTGAATACGGACCGACAAGTGGGGTAGCTTGGTGAAGTGTTCAAGAGCCGGCTCTAGTTCCCCCGGGAGATCGACTGGCCGATGCTCCTAGTCCAAGTGTGGGTGGCACTACCTACTTGGATACCAGGCGTGGCTCAACGGAACCTTGCTCTAAGCCCATGGCTAGAGCACCTAAAGGCGATAGGTGGGGAGAGTACCCAAGTGGCTCACGTAAGGCCACGGTGTTCCGAAATGTCGTCCCAAAGGCCCAGACTGTGGAAAGGAAGAGGAGCATTCCTCTGGGGTAGTGACCAAGGACACAGTCGTGTGGTGAGGAAGTCCCAGAGGATCGTGGGACTTAGTGGTCGGGCCTGTGGGCCTCGATCCAGTGGCAGTGTTGGCAAACATGGCCAGGGGCAGAAAGGGACTTGGTAGGAACTAACAAAGGGACTTTGGGGAAGGCGATTCCCCAGGTCTGTGGGCATCCTAAGGATGCTAAGGAGTGGATCTAGGATGACCCCTCATGGACAGATGGCCCAGTCTTGGAGAGACGGGATGGTGATGCAAGTGGTATTGGACCACTAGCGCAGCAAAGGTGAATGGGCATGGCCTTAGTGTAACGGGCCGAGATGTCAGTGGTACCTTTGGGTGTCGGTCATGGGATCGGACACGTGGAGCACTTGGACCAAGTGCAAAGGTTGAGTGGCATGGATGCCATTCTCGGGGCTAGAAAGCCCCAAGTCCTAAATGGGACTTATGGAGGTTGTGAATGAGACTCCTCCAAGTGGTCGGAGGTGTGGTTAAGTGACTAAAGTAGAATGGAAAAATTAGTCGCTTACAATGCCTTCCAACTTAGGCTATGCCATTCCCATTTCCATTAGAATTCCTTTGGAAGGAGTTCTCATAAACTCGCCAATTTCATCTTAAGGCATCACGCCTTAACACATTCAGTGTCTTTGCACCATCAACTCCAAGAGTCTACCTTAAAACACTTCTTTCTTGTGTCTAGGTCCTTGCCAAGACCAATGCAGTTCTTTCTTATGCTAACTGTCCATTGGCACTGCACTATAAAGTTTATACACAATTTTGTGTCAAAGTTGTTCTCTTCTGGGAACACCTTTCCCGCGACTTTAGTATGGCCCATTCTGCCACCCATGAGATACCCACTATTCTCATACTTGTTCTCATACTTGGATCTTATGAGCCCCCCCATCCTTCGTAGGGCACAACACACTTCAGTCCCAATGCTTTTACCAATCCCTTAGGGCCATTTCTTGACTCTACTTGAGTCACCTAGCATTTTTAGACTTTGTTAATCCAATGATCTGTGAGGTCCTATTTTTGAAGTCTCAACTCACTTGAATCCAACTTCATGTATTTGTGTCCTATTCCTAAGAACCATGTTTGCAAGTGTTACTCCAACACTTGATTATTTTCCGTTCTCTGTGGGCTACTTTTGCCCCTTAGGACTATCTGTCCTTTTGATGAGAATATCAACTCATTCTCTGAGCACACCCCCAACACCTTGGGTTTGTTCCAGCATTTATAAAGGGTAGCGCCAGCTACCATTTCAAGGACTCATGTCCTCATCCATATTTGACCTCTCAAAGTCCTTAATTCCGATCTCAAATTCATGAGCACTAGCCTCAACTATATGAGGATAATTTTGTGACTCCTTTATTGTTTTGGACCACCTTTCCCGTGATCCCAACTATAGTTGTTTACCACAACTACATTAGCCAATTTACTAAATCAAACGCTCATCTGGATCACATCCTCAACTTTATGAAGAAACCTTTATACTATTCCCAAGATCTCAAAGTCGTTCCCTTACTGGTCCTTTTCTATCTACCACATCGTGCCCAAGTTCACACATGAACTTGAGTGGAAAGCCATGTCCTCTTGATATGCTACTCCTCAAGGTTAGGCCCACTCCTAGGACTTTCCGATGCCAACATCAATGGTGATATACTTGAGCACCAATAAAAGTTAGACTAAGGAACAGCTCCGATACCAAGGTGTAATCAACTAAATTTTTCATTTTACTTTAGTCACTTAACCACACCTCCGACCACTTGAAAGAGTCTCACTCACAACCTCCATAAGTCCTATTTTGGACTTAGGGACTTGCTAGCCCCAAGAATGGCATCCATGCCACTCAACCATTGCACTTGGTCCAAGTGCTCCACATGTCCGATCCCATGACAGACACCCCAAGGTACCACCAACATATCGGCCCATTACGCTAAAGCCATGCCCATTCACCTTGGTCACATCGGTGGTCTGACACCACCTCTATCACAGTCCCGTCTCTCAAAGACTAGGCCATTCGTTCATGAGCGATCATCCCAGATCCACTCCTTAGCATCCTTAGGATGCCCATAGACATGAAGAATAACCTTCCCCAATATCCCTTTTCTGGTCCCCACCAAGTCTTTTTCCGTCCATGGCCATGTTCACCAACACTGCCACTGGATCAAGGCCCACAAGCCCGACCACTAAGTCCCACGGTCCTTTGGGACTTCCTCCTCACCTGACCGCATCCTTGGTCTCTACACTAGAGGGTGGCTCCTCTTCCTTTTCACAGTCTGGGACTTTGGGGTAACATTTTGGAACACCATGGCCTTACGCGAGCCTTATGGGTCCTTTCCCTACCTCCCGCCTTTGGGTGCTCTAACCATGAGCTTAGAGCGAAGTTCCGTTGAGCCACGCCAAGTATCTAAGTAGGTAGTGCCACCCACACTTGGACTGGGAGCATTGACCATTCGATCTCCCGAGGAAACTAGAGTCGGCTCTTGAACACTTCACCAAGCTACCCCGCTTGTCAGTTCGTGTTCACTCTAGTTTTAGACTTCCCAGTGGGCAGCTCATCACTCAACACTGGGTACAGCCTTCCTGGGCCAAACTAGCCTTTCCTGACCAAACTGGCTCCATTGCAATCCTCCCCCTACTATACTTTTGGAGCTCATCAAACCCCCAGGGTTTGGGAGATGAACGCTTTGGGCTTTCACCCTCTCAGACTTGAACTTGAACTCAGACTCGGACTCGGACTTGGACTCGGGCTTGGGCTTGGTCTCGACCTTAGCCTCGGTCTCGGTCTCGGTCTCAGTCCCGGTCTCGGTCTCGATCTCGACTTCAGACTCAATCTCGGGTCCTTCTCGGATTCCATCTCGGATTCCATCTCAGGTCCATCTCAGACTCCATCTCGGTCCATCTCGGACTCTATCTCGGGTCCATCTCGAGTCCATCTCGGACTCCATCTTGGGTCCATCTTGGACTCCATCTCAGACTCCATCTTGGACTCCATCTCAGGTCCATCTCGGGTCCATCTCGAACTCCATCTCGGGTCCATCTTAGACTCCATCTCGGGTCCATCTTAGACTCTATCTCGGGTCCATCTTGGACTCCATCTCAGACTCCATCTCGGGTCCATCTCGGGTCCATCTCGGACTCTTCCATATGTCATGTGTTGGTCCTCTTGTGTCCCTTTTCTAGAGACTCACTTATTGCTTGTTTCGTGCTTGTTCTTCAAGCACGTCGTTGGGAGTTCCACTCCCACTCTCGATCTTTCAAGTTGGAGCTTTTAGTCCAAATAAGTTATGCTTGTTTGGCTTCGCTTCGGCCACTACCTTTTCTAGAGACTCACTTATTGCTTGCTTCGTGCTTGTTCCTCAAGCACGTCGTTGGGAGTTCCACTCCCGCTCTCGACCTTTCAAGTCGAAGTTTTTAGTCCAAACAGGTTACGCTTGTTTGGCTTTCACTTCGGCCACTACCACGTGGCACCCTTTCAGCTCCACTTTGGGGCCTAGGGATTTTGTGTCTAACAACAAGCTCAAGATCGAAACAAAAGATTAGCTAATGAGCATCATCATCATCAAGAGTACAAAGTTAGTGACAAGGTTTTCTTTAAGCTGTCAAATGCACAATGGTCTTTGAAAGGAGGTGGCAGTGTTAAGTTGTCTCCACGGTATTGTGGGCCTTGAACAATTTTACAGCGCATGGGGGATCTTGCACACAACACCACATCAACATTTTTTCATTGCCCTAGACTAGAAGTATAAGAAGCTTATCTTTTCCAAGCCATGGACATAGGCATTGCGGCAACATCTTACTTGGAGGCAGGCATAAAGTTCGTCAGCCAAGAAATCTCCTTTCCACACTTCTATAGGGAAAAAAAATATTTCAAGCCAAAGAGTGAAAAAAATTGTATATCTGCACAAAACATAGTACAGGAGTAAGCTGAGCTCGATCCAGCTCGCGTAGGATGACAGGAACTCTGGCATTGCTCTCCGGATGACCCTCCTGGAAATCAGATCCATATTCGTGAAAACAGGAAATCTGTCAAACTAGAACTTATTACTCACTTGATTGTGGCCCTGAGCAGGAGCTGAGCAGTACAAGATACGTGAATCTTCACTCACAGTTGCTGCAAACGCTGCGGCCTTGTGACAAGAACGTAAACTCAATCCTGCGAGGACTCGGGATGCGCAAGAAACCATGCCCCACTCACTCGACATGCCCAACCTAAAATGTTTCAAAATATCTTTCACTTGGAACTATTGTATGTTAGAGAAAAAGTTTTATTTTCGAAGTAGGCCATTGATAGAGTTAACACTGAGGAAGCTAGCCTTAAGTTTGCCGCTGGTCATCCTCAAGTCGTCAATTATATAGCTCCAAGTCGAGCCCAACACTCCCACAAAGAAATCACACTCGGCTGCCATGACCAAGTTTATAAAGGCCGTGTCGAACGCTTGCTTGTAATGCCATATACTCCACCATCCTGATCGTTCCAACTTGCCTTGGAACATCACTGTAATAAAATTTCCAGCCTTTGTACTCCTTGGATTCATCCACGACGTTCTAAACCATGCAAAAGCTTTGTGATTTCAAATCTTTGTCAATGGCTTTCTTACCTGCATTTCCGTGGAAAGCCACACATTTCTTACGTGTGGGCATTTCTTCCGGAGGACATTGGCGAGCTTCATGTATTCGTCAAAAGAGACTACTCTCATCTCGCTGGCTTTGTCACCCTGTCTCACATGAATGCTTAACAGAGGCCGCGGCATCCAAGGTCCATAGTCACTCCACACATGTTCTTCCATGGGATTACTGGAATTACGCTTACTCTCATTTCTTGTATGCGGCCATTCAGTGCCAAGGGTTTTAAGCACCAGTTTTGCAACTTCTTCCCCAAAGGCTCTATGTCGTTCTTTGTTTAAAAGATTGCACAGATACTCACTTGGAAATCGTGTGAGATAGCGAAGTGCCTGTATACGTTAATTCTAGATCATTAGCTTACCATTTGATGAATGAGAAACTTGCCTGAGCTCTCCACCACCTTCGATGATTTGTGGGTAATTTGTCATGAGCTTGTCTTTTACCCCCACAGTTGGTCGCATTGCTCTCCCCAAAAACTAAAAACCAAATAATACTAAGTTACTGTATGAAAAAAAAACTCTTTTCTCTCACCTTGGAATCTCACCATTTCATTGATCGCCACTAAACTCTTTGATAATTCCCTCGTCCCATGCCTGTTTTTGCTCAGCAAGCCGCAATGCCCTTTCCATGCACTCCTCAGAAGCCTCGGGAACAAAGTAGCACGTGGTTGGATCCTAGCATTATTTTAACACTTTGAAAACATCAGCCCGAGATAGTCGATAAAAGAGTTTCGAAACCTGTGCATCCTTTGTGCCTGGCACCGTGGTAATCCTTGGTAATGAAAACCCGGCCTTGTATTAGCGTAGCTCCAAGCATTCCGGCCATTGACACCATGTCGGATCCAACTCCTACCGAGTCGCGCGTCTCGTCGTGGTGCCAAAGTGCGAGAAGAAATCTCGCATCGGTACAGTTTTTCGGGTGTTGGTGCAACCAAATATCACGCTGGACGCGTCGCGTTAACGGGAGATTATCGTCATCACCGCTAATGACCTGTCCAAGAGCAGCAAAAGGCTACTGAGAAAACCAAGAAAACGAGAAAGATTACCCGATCCGAGAAGAACCTTACAAGAGAACTTACCCATGGAACGGTGCTGATGCCTGTCTCTGGATTCATGTCAAGCTCCTCTTTCTGGTAAAATCCCTCCTTCCTGCGATCAAACTCTGCAGTCTCCTCGCTGCATCGCTTGCAATCCTGGATGTGCGGTGCATTGATCGTCACCTCGGGAGGAGTTGCACCGCTCACTCTCGACTGCAGATCGCTGCTCCACAGATCGACCAGGAGTTTTACTCTGCTCGACGCAGCCGAGGTCGAGGAATTAATTGATCTCCAGTTCATTCTGAAACTAATCAAAACAACCAAGTTCAAGGACAAGATCCAAAACAGGAGCCATTTCAGGGAATCCTTTGGACACTGGAGATTTCCTTTCATCCTTTTGAGAAATTAGACGAGCACCTAATAGAGATCATGATCCTATAGTACAGTTGACTAATGCGACCATGATGGAGATATTTTGTGGAAGTAAATTCACGAACGTGCTGAACACTAGATTTCTCGTTCTTCTAGCAACAAAACAACAGTAAAGAAGAATATGCGTGCCACATGTAACGTAAAATACTCATTTTACAGTCTGTACAAGTCCAAAATTGCTTTCTAGATAAGGGCCGTCCGATCTCCTACAGACTAGAAAGCTTAAGATGAGTTTGAATGTCAGTCGAGCTTACTCCAAAACTATGTTTGGGAGCAATGGACTGAGGAAAATTTTTGTGATTGGGGTTATCGCTCTTGTTATAATAATCGCTAACATTTTGTGGAGTAAGAGTAGTGTTTATTCTTTCTGGCATGTTGGCCCTTCAAGGTCTTTGGTGCACTGGGATGATCACAACAGCACAGGAGTTTTCATATGGCCAGCCCCCAAAAACGTCTCCAAGGGATCGATTTCCATGAGACTGTCCACAAAGTTTGCCATAACTCCTCCCAGAACTTTAAAAGTCTTGCAAGCAGGGATTGATCGCTACACGGTATTGATTCTCAAGCAGAGAAAGCTAAGGATTCCAGCGAAAAAGAATCCACCAGATTTTGTTTTGGACGAACTTCGTATCGAGCTCAAGTCGTTCAACCAAAGCGTGAGAGAGACAAAAATTATAACTTATTTTTCTAGGTTCTCTTTCTGTATTTTGGCAGCGGTGTAGATGAATCGTATCGCCTCCAAGTCCCCGACCCTTCAAATTCAAGGGTAGTATTGCTCCAGGTAAGCAAAATCTTTAAAGTTGAGCGCTGGTTCACCTCCTTTCTATGCTCATCCAAGGCAAGAACTGTCTATGGGGCCCAGTAGGCTTGAAAACAAAAGGCTAAACAATTTGCATTTTTTATAGACTTTTAGCCAAATTTGCACTTACAATGCTGTCGAAAGAGCTGTGCTTTTGCAAGGCTGCCCATGGAACATTTTTGACGAGCCTAGATTTTCATATCGAGGCCTTTTGATTGGTGAGAACTTTTTTCTTTAGAACAGACAACGGCCTCTAATTATTTTTCACTCGCTTACCAGATACTGCTCGACACTACTTGCCATTAAAGACGATAGAGAATGTGATCGACTCCATGGCCTACGCGAAGCTTGTGACTTCCAATTTCTCTATCCCTTATATATGAGCCGAGCCCCTTTCTAACTTCTTTGCCTCCAGAATGTCTTGCACTGGCATGTTGTGGACGAGGAGTCCTTCCCTTTGGAGATTCCATCGTTTCCAGAGCTTTGGAAAGGCTCCTACTCTATCTCTCAGCGCTACAACCTCGATGATGCAAAAGCTATAGTCAAGTAAGCTATCCTTTCAAAGAGAGTACAAATGTCCATGCTTTTATTCTTATACAGGTATGCTCGATTGCGAGGGATACATGTCATGCCAGAGATTGATATCCCAGGCCACGCTCGCTCATGGTAAACTTCTTCTGCCTTCATTGTAAATTAATAGATTTACTTGCGTGTAGGGAGTTGGATATCCTGAGCTATGGCCCTCTGAAAACTGCAAAACACCTCTGGACATCAGTAAGAATTTCACTTTTGAGGTGATAGATGGCATCTTTTCCGGTATGAACATGTTTTATATTGAATCAAAATCCTTGTGTCAACTCTATGCTGCCTAGATCTCTCAAAGGTGTTTCCATTCGAGCTCCTTCATATAGGAGGAGACGAAGTTAACACTAGTAAGCAGCAAATTTTCTTGGTGATTGTCAGCTTATTTTCTGCTAAACAGGGTGCTGGGAATTCACAGAACCTGTAAAAGACTGGTACGTTAGATTCGGTTTTACGAAACATCCAACTGTCTGAAACAGGCTGAGAAAGCACAATTTAACACCTTCACAGGGCTATGGGTTTTTTGTGCTTCAAGTGCAAAGACTGGCCTTGAAACATGGATACGTTCCTGTCAACTGGTAAGGAGATTAGCCATGTCCGATTCCATTAATTTTTGCTCTCTCTAGGCAAGAACCATTTGAAAAATTTGGACCAAGTTTGTCAAGGAAAACGATTGTTCACAACTGGTAGCTTATCAAAAGGGGTTGTCTCTCTAACTCAGATTGTTCAAATGGCTATTCAGGTGGGGCACTCAAATTCCTCCCAACACTGTCAGCTCGGGCCTCAAGAGTATAGTTAGCGAGCAATTTTCATGGTACCTGCATCACATTGATATACCATGGGAGGAGTTTTATTCAAAGGAACCATATGATAACATTGCCAGCCACAAAGAACAGCAGTTGATTATTGGAGGTGAGGTTTGTATGTGGGGTGAGAAAGTTGATGCAGCCAATATCCAACAAAGAATATGGCCAAGGGCAGCAGCGGCAGCAGGCAAGCTAGCTTCACTCTATTTGCTTGATATATTTTTCTTGGCTAACGATTTATATTTTGGCCAGAGAGGCTTTGGAGCCCATCTAATGTCACAGGTTTGGGTCCCAAAAATGCTGCTCCTAGGCTTGAATTTTTCAGAAGCCTGCTGAATGAAAGAGGAATAGCTGCTTCTCCAGTGAAATCAAAAGAAGAGGGCTCGTCCAAGCCTCCAGATTCTCCACACTCAACACTATGAATATAGATTAAATGACTGGTATAGAAAAATAATCATTCATGAGTGAGAAAATCTAGTTGACCAACACCTCACTGTAATTTCCTGTGTTTAGCTACCATAATCTTTCCTCTAGATTTAGGATTGCGTGCTTGAAAGTGGATGTTTATCCTTTATCAAAGAACTATTGCAACGAACTGGTATCATATTTCCTTCGCATTCTTCAGAGACAACTCCATGACCTTTGACCCCAGCTTCTGCATTCTTGGTGGTACTTATCCCGGTCTCGAATCTGGAGCCTTTCTTCCTGGGCATGGTGAATCCACACGGAACTTTGAGGGCTTCTTTGATCTCAAAGGAATCATTGTGGTAGCAACTACGACAAGATCGTTTGCTTCGCAATAAGCCAACCTTGAAAGCGATCGATTGCGAGGAAGACGAGGACATGGGAGGGTGGAGGATCTCCATGTATGCTCCGACGCTTACCAGGTCAATCGTGACAGGCTCGTTCCAAAGTTCTCGATCTGGATCGACGGGAAGGTGCAACTAATGCATTCAGATTTTGAAGAAATTGACAAGATGGCCATGAACTTGACGCGATCATTAGAGGAGAACCACGATAGTCTCGTCCCGTACAGCCGCTCCGCCTGGTGAGTGACGTTCCTGAAAACTGTGTGATCATCCGGAAGCACACGCCGGTCACGAATCACTTTCCTTGCCTCTGGTTTAACGAGTTGGATCGATTTACGCCGAGAGATCAAGGGAGCTATGCAGAGGTGAGAGACAAGATCGTCCCCTGGCGGATATGAGAGGCGAAACTTTGTCAGCTCCGGAGTGAAATGTATCAAGCTTACCGATTATTATTCGTACACCACTCGGGCGCCCTGCACGATTTCGCCCATGACAAGTTGACAACGCACTCCTTGTTTGTGAAACGGATTTTCTTTACGGCGGAGGGATCCAGCACCAAAATCGTGCCTACTAGAGGTTCCGAAAGCTTTCTCCGGTTCCATGCTTCCCGCCTGCTCCAGAGGCGCCGCACCGCGCCGCACAGCTGGCGCTCACATGGAAGCCAGCTGTGCGTCCGTCGCGGCTAGCAGAATGTACCACCTGGCGGCAGGGTTTATTCCGTCAAGCTAGCTGGCGATCGTCTAGGGTTCTTCGATTTGTTGGCTCGGCGGACGCGCATTTGCGCTGCGTCGCCTTGTTTCCTCCCGGCTAGCTCGGATCTTGGTGCTGGATGCGGAAATGCGGCGTTCCGAAAGAATGTGAGTTGCTGGATCGAGCAGGATGTATGCTGTAGCTCCGCAATCCGGATACGTGCATCACAGCTTCGTCGATTCACAGTATTCCAATCACAGCGGATGTTTGAGGTAGTGCGTAAGTTAGGAGCAAAAGCAGGAAAACTCACGTAAGTCATGCTTATCTTACAGGTATACTCGATGCCAGCTAAACTCTGTCTAAAACGTCGTGTGTAGGATGGAAAGAGAACATACACCCAATTTACCGGGCGCATTCTCTCGAATACATTCGGCTATGTAATGAGCTCTATTCCCACCCCGAAAATAGCAAGGCACAATTCGTCCACATCCATACCATGGAAGATCAAACGAACGCCAGCAAAGTTCCTGCTTGCAGCATCTCCGAGCCTGATCTAAGTCGACGGACCGATGAGGTTCATATCGAACTCTATTTTCTGAACTAGTTTTCCTAAAGGCCTTTCTTGCAGAACGCATCAAAACCACCTCCCAATGGTTTCTTACGTCGGGCTGGATCGAGCGTGTTCCAAAGGGCGACAAGCTTTGTGTCGAGAGGCAAACAGGTGGGCTAGTGCAAACTTTCCTTTATTCTAAAACTTTCCTATTACTTGTCAGGCAAATCTCGAAGAAGGCAACATGCGATTCGACGGTGCGTGCATCGAGAGCACAGCTGCGATGAATACAAATCTAGGACCGCAAGAGCACAGGGAACTCCCAGAAGCGCGGAAGAACAGTCCGGCCCTTTACGTCCAATGCAGTGAGTACTACTCAAGGTTAGTGTTCCTCGTTCTCTCGCTGGAAATCGAAACTAAAAACTCCTCCTGTTTCGGGCGAAGGTGTGTGAATTCGTTTGGTAGAGATGGAATCTCTCATCTCGCCGCAACTGCGTCCAATCATGAAATTGTCCGGCCGCAAGCCGCAAGCCCAAAGAGTGGAAGTATGATTGGGAAAATGAATTTAAAGGCAAATTGTTTTAAACGGTTAGTCTTGAATCAGCCCTAATTCTAGAGTTAAAGGTAACCTATATTCTTCATTGAAGTTTAGTGTGGTGGGTGGCGATTGGTAATCAACTTATATTCCTGGTTGTTAATTTTTCTTCAAGAGTTCGGTGCTTATTGAATATATCATCTTGATCCATTCATTCTGGAGAAAAGCAGTTAGCTGCCCAAGTAATAGTTTTACTCTTTGTCATCTATCTATACGATGACAAAGAGTTATAGGCCGTTATTTTTTGTGACGCTCGTCTTCACCACCACTGCATTGCTGCTGCTATCACGGAACTCGCCCAAGATGAGCCTGGGGTACTATTCTCGCGCCAACGTAAACGACGATTCGTGCAGGAGCAGGGCCGAATACACTTCATACACTCGACACAAGTTTCCCAGCTTCCGCGCTTCACAGCCCCTCCACAAGAAGATCCTCGAGTACGAGGCCCTGCACGCGAGGTGCGCGCCCGATTCCAAGGATCCGCACAAATCCTGCAGCTCCAGCTGCAAGTTCCTCGTCTTCGTCCCTGGCGACCAGGGAATCGGCAACAAGATGATCACCCTCGTCTCGACTTTCCTCTACGCGCTGCTCACCGACAGGGTGCTGCTCATCGCGAGGAAGAAGAACATCGACACGCTCTTCTGCGAGCCGTTTCCATCCAGCTCCTGGCTGCTGCCCCCGAGCTGGAAGCACCTCGCAGAGTCCGTGCCGCACAATGACTCCATCCGGATTGGAAGCCTGGTGGGATCCCTCAACTGCAGCCTTGACGTGATGTTCCCAGAGGTCGTCTTTGCCGATCTCTGCTACAACTACAAGGACGAGGACAAGTCCTTCTTCTGCGGGGAGCACCAGCGCGCGCTTCGCACCGACACGCGATGGATCGTTCTCTCGTCCGACCAGTACTTTGCCGCGGCGCTCTTCATCGTTCCGGCTTTCAGGGCCAAGCTCCAGGAGTGGTTTCCACAGCAGGAGGCCGTCTTCCATCTCCTGGTGAGGTATCTCCTGTACCCCGTGGAATCGGTGTGGGACAAGACTAGGAGATACTACGACGCGTATCTAGCGGAGGCCGAGCATCTACTTGGAGTCCAGCTGCGAACTCACATCTGGTTCTCGCCGCCCAATCTCGCAGAGGATGCCTTCGACTGCCTGGTGCAACAGAAAATACTTCCCAATATCACCAGGGAACCCGCCAAGGAACAAGCTCTTGAAGCGAAATCCTCCAAGAAGAAGAGGCTGCTTGTGCTCTTGACATCGCTCAATCCACAGTACTCAGAGGCCCTCAGAGCGAAGATGCTGAGTTACGATCTCTCCGATGGGACAATAGTTATCCATCAGCCTAGCGGGGAGGGGGAGCAGCACACTGGGAACTGGGATCACGACGCGAAAGCGGTAATGGAGATCTATTTGCTGTCGATGAGCGAGGTCTTGCTGACGAGCCCGCCGTCAACGTTTGGATACGCTGCGGCGGGGCTTGCGGGCGTGCGGCCCCTGCAATTTGTGTGTGACAAGGAGAAGAGCTTGGGTTGCTTGCCGAGGGAGACAATGGAGCCGTGCTACCACGGGTACCCAGATCAGTTCATGCTGGCAAACATCGAGGAATGCGAGTGCGAGCTGGGATACAGGCTATCGTGATCAATCAACTTTGTTCAAAACCTTTCCAATCTTAATCGTAATCGCCAGCTCCGTTTTATTATAGAGAATGTATGGCCTTAATCTCGGTAATTGCCCGCCTCACTCCCACAAGAGGCTCCTCATACAAAACAGCCGGATCATCCGTCAGTTTTGCTCGACTCTCCTCGTCATCCAGCAAGCCACGAAATATGTCAGCAACACTGAGCGACAGAGCGTCCAGGTTGTAGCCACCTTCCAGAAAGAAAACGCAGCTCCCGTTGCAAACCTCCCGTGCAAGCTGCTTGATCGTCGATGCCAAATGGTGGTAAGTTGCAGTGGTGAACTGAAGGCTGGCCAAAGGGTCCAAAACATGAGCGTCATATCTACATGAAACACACATTTGCAAATGAGAAAAAGTCACAGCAAGAGACTTTTTACCCGGCAGAAACGAGTAGAATATCGGGCTTAAACTTGAGGCAGCATGGAACCATGACTTCTTCGAGAGCAGTAAGCATGGCTGCATGCCCAGAACCACCTGGTAATGGCAGATTTAACGTGGTTCCTTTGCCATCCCTTGTGCCAACCTGACGCATTTTCCCTGTTCCTGGATAGCTTCCATCCTGTGAACTCTGTCAGCATTCTATTGATTTGTGATTCAACTTGCCTGGTGTATAGAGCAGAAGAAGACGTCCGGGTCGTCGTAGAAAGCGTCCTGCGTGCCATTGCCATGGTGGACATCAAAGTCGATGATAAAAACTCTCTTGAGGCCATGAGCGCGCTGTGTGTGCCTAGCTGCGATGGCCACATTGCTGAAAACGCAGAATCCCATGGGCCCTGCCGGGACTGCGTGGTGGTCTGGAGGTCAGATCAAAGCAAATCCAATGGGGGCCTTGGACCAGCCACACTCATCTGGAAAAAGTAAAGAATTACAAACACAAAGCAACGAAGAAAAAAAGCATCCAAAGCTCTATAAGAGCCTTTGGATTACCAGGGAGTCGACCAGAGCTAAGCTTTCACCTGCTGCAAGCATGGATTCTTCATACGTCTTTAAGGCATTGTTAAAAATCTTGTAGCAAGTATAAGAAAACTAGAACTTCTTTTCAAGGATTGAAGCATACCATGGAAGTAGCATAAGTTGGACCACTTCCTTTGATGAAGATGAGACCATCTGCAGTGGCTTTCCCCATTGCTTGTATCCATACACTTTGGACTTGCTAGCTAGTTCAAAGATTCATCCAATGTTCTATGTGAGCAAGTTTAAAGTTTGTTTGCACTTTGGTGATGTTGTGGACAAGTCCATTATTCAGGTCCTAAAGACTGATGTTGAGAAGGCTGGTTTGGCTAATATTTTTACTTAAAGATTGGTGAAAACATGCCAAAAGACAACTATAGAATTGTCAGTTCAATAGAATGGTTATTCCATGGATGAAGCTATATGGGAAATTGAGGATGACATGAAGAAAGTGTTTATGAGTTTTGGTTATGACTTAGATGACATTTCTGAGGAAGAGGAAAATTAAATTTTATAGCCGTATGTAAGGAACCAACTCCCCAAGGTGTCGAAGGCTAAAGAATCCTCGAAATCATGATAAAGATTTCATCAAATGAGACCAAGTCCAAGATTAAGTTCGAAACCAACTCTAAGGCCAAATTCGAGACCAACTCTAAGGCCAAGTTTGAGACCGAGTCCGAGATCGAGTCCAAGACCGACTCTTAGACCAAGTTCGAGACCAAATTCGAGACCAAGTTCGAGGCCAAGTCTAAGATCCGATATCGGGTCTGAGACCGAGTTTGAGATTGAGTCCGAGACAGAGTCCAAGATCGGGTCTGAGATCGAGTCCAAGACCGAGTTCGAAGTCAAGTCCGAAATCAAGTCCGAGATCAAGTTTGAGATCGAGTTTGAATATTAATATAGGTCATGGGGTGAAACCCCAAAGCATGTGTCTCCCAGGGGGGGGGGAGGGGGGGCATTGCAAGGGGTTCCAAAAGTATAGTAGGGATAGTGAGGTTTAGGAACCAATCTTGAAGGAACTCTTCAATGGTGCTTCTAAACTGACTTGAGGTTGAAATTGGGGCCAAGGGGCCTTGGGTGGGAGTGAGCATGGACTCAGGTGGTGCTGGAGGGGCCACCCAAGGAAGTGCTCAAGAGCAACTTTCACTCCCGAAAGGGAAATCGACTGCAATGCTCCCAGCTCATGTGGAGTGGTGCCCCATTTGAGTACCTTGCAGCTCATTGGTCCTCGCCCTTCCTAGGGGCTTGGGCCTTGGGGGGGGGGGGGGCGGGGTTGAGGTACCCATATTGGTTAGGCCACAATGTTTCCTTGCGGCATTCTGAAGCAAGTGTTACACCCAAGGCTCGGGATTTAGAGGGTCCCATAATCAAGTTTTGTTGTACCAAGGGATGTTAAAAACCTGGAGGCTTGGTATGCTTGGCTGCTTGTGCTTGCGGAAAGTGTAGCTAAACCTTAAGTCCAGTCTAACCTAAAAAAGGGGATTGGGAGAGATTTAAGAATCTATGGATGGATAGCTAACGCTCTATTGTTCGTGCAGTGAATAGCTGAAACCAAGTAGAACCAAGTAGGAGCTGGTACAATAGGCGGGAACCTGGCAAGGGAACTCAGCTAAAGCCAAGATAGTGTTAGTTAGATAGACGAAGTAAGCTGGCAAATTGGAAAGGAAAACTTTTGTGGCTTACAATTTGGTATTAGAGCATTTTCCTCGAAGCACAAGATAAAGGGATTTGTTCGCAGAAAATGAATATTCTGGTCCTCAAAATATTCCCTATTTTCCTTGTATAAAACCCTTGCCCCACAAGGGGGGGTGGGGTGCATTTTGCAAAGAGCATTGAAGCATTTCTTGTGTTTGAGTGAGAGTTGAAGGAAGAACCCATTGTGCAACACTTTCGGAGGTGTCATTTCTTTTTTTTTCTTTTGGCCGCAGACTTTGGGAATCAATTTCTTGTTCGTCTTGTGGTGGTTTTTTTTTAATCTTGGGCGTGTTGGATAGGTCTGGAGCACCTCTTTCCAGCAAGCTATGGAGCTCGTCAAGCTATGCAGTATTTGAAGAGATACAATGTTTCTTGGCTCGGTCAGATGAATATTTTGGGGTTTTCACTTTCTCGCCTAGATCCTCGACCTAATTTCCTAAGGTAGTGCATTTGGGCTTATAGATCTAGTCTAAATTTTCAAGTAGTGGTGATTCTTGGCACTAGATTTGGGCAAATGGACAACATGCAAAAGGATTTTCTTCTCCGGCTAAATTGGGTCATCTTTGTAGTAGGAATTTGTGCTCCTCCAGGCTTTGTTTTGGATGCTATTTGGTTCTAGAGATGCTCATGGTCCTAGGCTTTCTAAAAATACCAACAGCGCCTTAATATCAATCTACATCACGGACATGCATATGTTTTTTTCACAATGTTGGCATTCTGGGTTACCTCTTCATGAATTTTGGGGAATATTGAGGTGGCTTCTTTCTAAATTCCTACGATAGAGGGTAGACGGGGCTGAGCCCTTTTCAATGAGCCCACCAACATTCAAAATGGAGAATGATCGAGACTAGAGGACTTATTTTTCTCTTTTGGGTTAAACTTTGTTGGGGGTTCCTTGGGAACGAAGCAATCTTTAAAAACAGGTAGCCATAGGAATAGGAACAAGAGGAGCAGGAACAAGAGTTGGCATAGGAATAAAGATAGTAGGAACAGGCACAGGGATAGGAGTTGGTGTTGGAGCAGGCGCAGGAGTAAGAGTGAGAGTAGGTGGTTACCGGTTACAGGTCCCAGTTACTTGTTACCAATTACCAGTTACTCTAGTGGCTACTTTGACAATTACCCCACAGGTCAATGGTTATGTGTGCTTGAGGCCTACATCTTTATTTTCACCCTTATTCCTCTTCGTCACAGGCATTTTGAGCAACTTTGCGCAACTTGAGCACTTGTTACTCCTGTCAACCCAGTTGCTTTGACTGGACATTTGCAGTATTTAGGGTATTTGATGCCAGTATAAACTAAACATACGACAAATTAGCACCCTTTTACCATAACTCGAGGCCCTAAGGTACAAAGTAAACTTTCTAACATTTAAAGGCAACTTAGGTATGGCATTGCACCTTCTTGGGCCAAGTCCTTGTCATCCTCGAACAAATTTCAGTGACTTAGATCTACGATCTATGGCGCAGCCACCTTGAGCTCAACCTCAACTCCATGTTCTGCAGAAGGGGAGTGATCTACTAACCTTCTCAAGTGTTAGAACAATCTCTCCAACATCACATATCAATCACTTTGATTACTATTACACCACAAACATAATCATCGACGATGATTGTATGTGCCGCGACTTCTTGCAATCTCTTAAAGGCAAAACAACAATTTGGGCAGATTCTCTCCTCTTAAAGGACTGGACAGACTTCTAGACACTACTTGTTTCTTTTAGAAAACGCTTTGTTGAAGAAAAACCCACAAATTGGCTACTTGTCGACCTCTTTTCGTTCCAGCAAGATGCTCACGAGTCTATTCCTGACTACATCACACAGTTTCGAGCTTACTGGAAGCAATGTAACATTCATGTGAAACAAGGTGACAAAGCCAGCGAGATGAGAGTAGTCTCTTTTGTCAAATATATGAAGCTCGCCAGTGTCCTCTGGAAGAGATTCCCACACGTAAGAAATGTGTGGCTTTCCACGGAAATGCAGGTAAGAAAGCCATTGACAAAGATTTGAAATCACAAAACTTTTGCGTGGTTTAGAACATCATGGATAAATCCAAGGAGTACAAAGGCTGGAAGTTTTGTTACAGTGATGTTCCAAGGCAAGTTGGAACGATCAGGATGGCGGAGTATATGGCGTTGCTTGGAGACAAGCAAGCCTTCGACACAGCCTTTATAAACTTGGTCATGGCGGCCGAGTGTGATCTCTTTGTGGGAGTGTTGGGCTCGACTTGAAGCTATATAATTGACGACTTGAGGATGACCAGCGGCAAACTTAAGGCTGGCTTCCTCAGTGTTAACTCTATCAATGGCCTACTTCGAAATAAAACTTTTTCTTTAACATAGATATCTTGAAACATTTTAGGTTGGGCATGTCGAGTGAGTGGGGCATGGTTTCTTGCGCGTTCCGAGTCCTCGCAGGATTGAGTTTACGTTCTTGTCACAAGGCCGCGGCGTTTGCAGCAACTGTGAGTGAAGATTTACGTATCTTGTACTGCTCAGCTCCTGCTCGGGGCCACAATCAAGTGAGTAATAAGTTCTAGTTCGACCGATTTCCTGTTTTCACGAATATGGATCTGATTTCCAGGAGGGTCATCCGGAGAGCATGCCAGAGTTCCCGCGATCCTACGCGAGCTGGATCGAGCTCAGCTTACTCCTGAGGTAAGAAAACATAGTGTATTGTGCAGATATACAACATTTTTCACTCTTTGGCTTGAAATATTTTTTTCCCTATAGAAGCGTGGAAAGGAGATTTTTCGGCTGACAAACTTTATGCCTGCCTCCACCGCAGTGCACTCCATGTCCTATGTCCATGGCCTGGAAAAGATAAGCTTCTTATACTTCTAGTCTGGGGCGATGAAAAAATGTTGATGTGGTGTTGTGTGCATACAGGCAATGGGGAAAGCCGCTGCGGATGGTCTCATCTTCATTGAAGGAAGTGGTCAAACTTACGCTACTTCCACGGTATGCTTCAATCCCTGAAAAGAAGTTCTAGTTTTCTTATACTTGCTACAAGCTTTTAACAATGCCTGAAAGACGTACGAAGAATCCATGCTCGCAGCGGGTGGAAGCTTAGCTCTGGTCGACTCCCTGGTAATCCAAAGGCTCTGATAGAACTTCGGATGGTTTTTCTCTTCGTTGCTTTGTGTTTGTAATTCTTCACTTTTTCCAGATGAGTGTGGCTGGTCCAAGGCCTCCAATTGGATTTGCTTTGATCCGACCTCCAGGCCACCACGCAGTCCCGGCAGGCCCCTGCGTTTTCGGCAATGTGGCCATCGCAGCTAGGCACGCACAGCGCGCTCACGGCCTCAAGAGAGTTTTTATCATCGACTTTGATGTCCACCATGGCAATGGCACGCAGGACGCTTTCTATGACGACCCGGACGTCTTCTTCTGCTCTACACACCAGGCAAGTTGAATCACAAATCAATAAGAATGCTGACAGAGTTCACAGGATGGAAGCTATCCAGGAACAGGGAAAATGCGTCAGGTTGGCACAAGGGATGGCGAAGGAACCACGTTAATTCTGCCATTACCAGGTGGTTCTGGGCATGCAGCCATGCTTACTGCTCTCGAAGAAGTCATCGTTCCAAGCTGCCTCAAGTTTAAGCCCGATATTCTACTTGTTTCTGCCGGGTAAAATGTCTCTTGCTGTGACTTTTTCTCATTTGCAAATGTGTGTTTCATGTAGATATGACGCTCATGTTTTGGACCCTTTGGCCAGCCTTCAGTTCACCACTGCAACTTACTACCATTTGGCATCGACGATCAAGCAGCTTGCACGGGAGGTTTGCAACGGGAGCTGCGTTTTCTTTCTGGAAGGTGGCTACAACCTGGACGCTCTGTCGCTCAGTGTTGCTGACACATTTCGTGGCTTGCTGGATGACGAGGAGAGTCGCGCAAAACTGACGGATGATCCGGCTGTTTTGTATGAGGAGCCTCTTGTGGGAGTGAGGCGGGCAATTACCGAGATTAAGGCCATACATTCTCTATAATAAAACGGATCTGGCGATTACGATTAAGATTGAAAAGGTTTTGAACAAAGTTGATTGATCACGATAGCCTGTATCCCAGCTCGCACTCGCATTTCTCGATGTTTGCCAGCATGAACTGATCTGGGTACCTGTGGTAGCACGGCTCCATTGTCTCCCTCGGCAAGCAACCCAAGCTCTTCTCCTTGTCACACACAAATTGCAGGGGCCGCACGCCCGCAAGCCCCGCCGCAGCGTATCCAAACGTTGACGGCGGGCTCGTCAGCAAGACATCGCTCATCGACAGCAAATAGATCTCCATTACCGCTTTCGCGTCGTGATCCCAGTTCCCAGTGTGCTGCTCCCCCTCGCCGCTAGGCTGATGGAAGGTAACTATTGTCCCATCGGAGAGATCGTAACTCAGCATCTTCGCTCTGAGGGCCTCTGAGTACTGTGGATTGAGCGATGCCATGAGCACAAGCAGCCTCTTCTTCTTGGAGGATTTCGCTTCAAGAGCTTGTTCCTTGGCGGGTTCCCTGGTGATCTTGGGAAGTATTTTCTGTTGCACCAGGCAGTCGAAGGCATCCTCTGCGAGATTGGGCGGCGAGAACCAGATGTGAGTTCGCAGCTGGACTCCAAGTAGATGCTCGGCCTCCGCTAGATACGCATCGTAGTATCTCCTAGTCATGTCCCACACCGATTCCACGGGGTACAGGAGATACCTCACCAGGAGATGGAAGACGGCCTCCTGCTGTGGAAACCACTCCTGGAGCTTGGCCCTGAAAGCCGGAACGATGAAGAGCGCCGTGGCAAAGTACTGGTCGGACGAGAGAACGATCCATCGCGTGTCGGTGCGAAGCGCGCGCTGGTGCTCCCCGCAGAAGAAGGACTTGTCCTCGTCCTTGTAGATGTTGTAGAGATCGGCAAAGACGACCTCTGGGAACATCACGTCAAGGCTGCAGTTGAGGGATCCCACCAGGCTTCCAATCCGGATGGAGTCGTTGTGCGGCACGGACTCTGCGAGGTGCTTCCAGCTCGGAGGCAGCAGCCAGGAGCTGGATGGAAACGGCTCGCAGAAGAGCGTGTCGATGTTCTGCTTCCTCGCGATGAGCAGCACCCTGTCGGTGAGCAGCGCGTAGAGGAAAGTCGAGACGAGGGTGATCATCTTGTTGCCGATTCCCTGGTCGCCAGGGACGAAGACGAGGAACTTGCAGCTGGAGCTGCAGGATTTGTGCGGATCCTTGGAATCGGGCGCGCACCTCGCGTGCAGGGCCTCGTACTCGAGGATCTTCTTGTGGAGGGGCTGTGAAGCGCGGAAGCTGGGAAACTTGTGTCGAGTGTATGAAGTGTATTCGGCCCTGCTCCTGCACGAATCGTCATTTACGTTGGCGCGAGAGTAGTACCCCAGGCTCGATGATTGCGTCTTCGTCTTGGGCGAGTTCCGTGATAGCAACAGCAATGCAGTGGTGGTGAAGACGAGTGTCACAAACAATAAGGGCCTATAACTCTTTGTCATCGTATAGATAGATGACAAAGAGTAAAACTATTACTTGGGCAGCTAACTGCATTTCTCCAGAATGAATGGATCAAGTTAATATATTCAATAAGCACCGAACTCTTGAAGAAAAATTAACAACCAGGAATATAAGTTGATTACCAATCGCCACCCACCACACTACACTTCAATGAAGAATATAGGTTACCTTTAACTCTAGAATTAGGGCTGATTCAAAACTAACCGTTTAAAACAATTTGCCTTTAAATTCATTTTCCCCCACTCTTTGGGCTTGCGGCTTGCGGCCGGACATTTTCATCATTGGAGGCAGTTGCGGCGAGATGAGAGATTTCACGAGCTGTGATCCTTCTCTACCAAACGAATTCACGCACCTTCGCCCGAAACAGGAGGAGTTTTTAGTTTCGATTTCCAGCGAGAGAACGAGGAACACTAACCTCGAGTAGTAGTCACTGCATTGGACGTAAAGGCCTGGACTGGTCTTCCGCGCTTCTGGGAGTTCCCTGTGCTCTTGCGGTCCTAGATTTGTATTCATCGCAGCTGTGCTCTCGATGCACGCACCGTCAAATCGCATGTTGTCTTCTTCGAGATTTGCCTGACAAGTAATAGGAAAGTTTTAGAATAAAGGAAAGTTTGCACTAGCCCACCTGTTTGCCTCTCGACACAAAGCTTGTCGCCCTTTGGAACACGCTCGATCCAGCCCGACGTAAGAAACCATTGGGAGGTGGTTTTGATGCGTTCTGCAAGAAAGGCCTTTAGGAAAACTAGTTCAGAAAATAGAGTTCGATATGAACCTCATCGGTCCGTCGACTTAGATCAGGCTCGGAGATGCTGCAAGCAGGAACTTTGCTGGCGTTCGTTTGATCTTCCATGGTATGGATGTGGACGAATTGTGCCTTGCTATTTTCGGGGTGGGAATAGAGCTCATTACATAGCCGAATGTATTCGAGAGAATGCGCCCGGCAAATTGGGTGTATGTTCTCTTTCCATCCTACACACGACGTTTTAGACAGAGTTTAGCCGGCATCAAAATAAGCACCTGTAAGTTCTGTACAAGGCGACTTTCCAAATCCATCGCAATCAACTCGAGGCTGGGATCCTTGTTCATTTGCTTGAGTGCTTTCAGAAAAGCTCGAGTATACCTGTAAGATAAGCATGTCTTACGTGAGTTTTCCTGCTTTTGCTCCTAACTTACGCACTACCTCAAAGCTTCTTCCGTTTGTCCAGCCTCTGCGAGCATAGTTGCATACACTATTTTGTACGGTTGGAAACACACTAGTGTAAATTGGGGATATCCTTTCGTTTTCACGTACTCGTATAGCTCCGTCCTCTGCATGAAGCATTTCGTTATAGTATTCGTATGTGACAATAGGAAGAAACCTTGAACGCGAACGGTGTGAAAAATGTTCTCAGGTACTTTCAATGGTCTGCACCTAATCCTTCTGTCACTGAAAAATGCTTCAGGATTTTGGTCGACCAAAAGATAGCACAAGTGCACTGCCGCCACCTGCGAGAAATATTAGATACTATCAAAATATTCATACAAACATAAACCAAACCTGTTCTTTCTGACCCCATAATGTGTCACCCAGTTGAGTGATCACGTCATCGTTCCCAGAAGTCCGGTTTGTGGCCATTAGAGCAAGGTGCTCATGCCAATGGTCAAGAATGCCGCTTCCCTGATCAACTCGTAATTAAGTAGGCAACGATTTTCCATAAATACACAGCATTACTTGATTGCCGTTCTCTCCAAATACATCCTCCGACTGGCTGCTCATAAGCAAGCTGAAAGTTCATAATGGACCTGGAGCCAATTGATGATATGCCATTTTTGAGATGGTATCAGAATATTATTAAAATTCAAAGCTGATTTGATAATGAAGCACGAAACTGTTTAATCTCACCTTGTCCCCTAGCTGAGATGCAAGAACAAGAGCTAGTCCCCACAATTGGCTGCCTTGTGCACACTTGAAGAGGTGTGGATACTCCTCTTTACTGGAAATCTATTGTTAGTAAAAAAACAAAAGAGAAAAGGGCCCAATCTCCAAGGGCTGAGAAGAAGGATGAATGAAAAAATGTTGTTTATTGATAAGAAAATGATGAATGGAGATAGGGATCCACAATTCAGATTCCCCCCTTTGAAAGGTTGGCAATTATAACTACCAACATATGCTATATGCTATGCATTATCTAATCTATGGCTCCGATGCAGCCCTGGGTTCAAGGTCAAAGTCCCCTGAACCTGGGATTTTAGTTGATACACTCTACTCCCCTAACAAAACTAGACACCGTCCTCGGTGCAAATGTAGTCACTTTCCATCGCTTGTTGCTGCTGCTGCTCAAGTTGATAGAGGTGATGCTTCTGCTGCTGGAGTGTAAGCTTGTGGTTGGGGACACTGTCTGGTGGATCTCTCCCATCTTCCTGGAGCTCGGCTATCTCGGCCAGGAGGGCGGTATGATCATCCTCAAGCTTCCTGTAGCAAGTGTTGAGCTCTTTGTACTTGAATTTGTAGGTGAGTTCTTGAGCTGGTATGGGGTATGGGGTTGATGGCTGCTTGGAGATGATTTTCCTGATGTCCTGGAGGTCAGTGCGAATCTACTTCATCACCTCGAGCTGAGTGTCTAGTTGAAGGGCTTGTAGAACTCTTTCTTGATTGCTCCCCGGGTGTATATGAAGGAGTCTTGCCTGAGAAGGTGCTGTATGATGTCCCTTGGTGTTGGGAAGTGGTTTGCTTGGTCGTGAAGCTCGCGGTGCATGCCTTGATCGAGGGCTTTGAATAACTTCTGGGTACAGTAGCTCTGGTCACGGAGTTTATCCTCGTATTCCTTCCTGATCTCATCGTAATCATGGCGTACCTGACTCTGTGGCTGAGGCATGGCTGCTGCTGCTGCTGCTGCTCCTGCTCCTGCTCCATGATCCTGGTGTTTCTCGCTAGGGTTCGCTGTGTTCTTGCCGGGAGTTGAAGTTGCAGGAGGCTTAATCTGCTTCGTTGGATGGGGTGACGTGGTCAGGCTGGATTCTTTGAGGTAGTTGGAGAGGAGCTTTTCAGTTTGATGCTGGATGAACAGCCCAGATGTGGCGCTGAAATTAATTTATCCGTTGGCAAATTTTCCGCTTGGAATTTTGTTGAAGGGGCAGAAGTTTTGTTAATGCTAGTCGTGGCATTTGCTGGAGGAGGCATGGTTCCATGTTCTGCAAGTGATTGGCGAAGGTAGTCAATGTTTTCTTTTGTGGAACGTGTCGAGGAGGTTGGGGCGGTGAGAATGTTGTTTTCAGCTGGTGGAGAAACAGAGTTCTGGGCGAGCAGCTGACGTTTTCCTTTGGCGATGTTGATGTGTTTGTGAGAAGAAGTCGGTTTTGGGGCTGATTCGAGTGGATGCGGGCTCTGGGGTGAGTGTGGAAGCTGGTGTGAGTTGTCTTCATTGTCGCTGATGATGAGGTGCTCTTGGATCAGCGGTTTTGGAGCTGGATTCGCTGGTGTTTTGCATGTGAGGCAGTGGCAAATTGGAGTTGAATCATTGGAGTGTTTGTTGCTGGTGTTGCTGGAGTGGGTTGAGCCTGATTGTTGAGATGCTGGCTTCGGTTTCTTGCTGGGAGTTGCTCCTTCTGATTCTGACTGTTCTTTGGAGCTGTCGCTTTGTTCTGCAGAGTTCGTTTGGGTTGTCCATGGCTGCTTGTTGGGAAGAGCTTGGTGTGGAGCTACCAGCAGTGGGAACATTACTGTTCGCATGGTCTTTTTGTTGAGTGTGGTGAGGATGGCACGGTCAAGATGCTTGAGAAGGAGCTCGTGGAGATGATGAGCTTTGTAGACTTCTGCTGTGCGCTTGCCGATGGTGCGATCTGTTGGGCGAAGTTCGTAGTAGAGGAGGAGGGCTTTGAGGCCTCGATGTCCTCCCATGTGAGCTCACTGGTAATCTCTCGATTGGCCTTGATGATTTGCTGTGGAACTTCTCCTGAGAATTTTAGCAGTCCCTTGTTGGAGATTTTGAAAACGGAGGCGATTCTTGCTGGGCTGAGGGTGATCTTGTTGGTGCCGTCGGTTATGGTGCTGTTCTTGGGGTGGAAGGAGGCGGCCAGCTTCCTTGCCAATTTTTTATCAGAGTGTGTTGAAAAGGCCTTGTGGAGGAGCTCGAATCCATGGTCCTTGAGCCAGGTGGTTGTGTCGTTGCTGGGAAGCCTAGGAATATGGTGTATGATGTATCTGAGGTGCTGGGGTGGATGAGCTGGTATCTTTCTCTTCATTTTCTGTGATCAAAGTGCTCGCCCCGTTAGGGTTTGTGAGACCCATAATTGTTGATCGTGTGGCGCTCGATTGCTGGTGATGAACGGTGGAGATTTGTTGACCAAATTGATCTGGTTGGACTTGTTTGATTGAAGATCAATGGTGGAGATTGCTGATGAAGTTAACTCAAGTTCAACTGTTGATATCTGCTGAGGTGGTGTTGATCCAACGGTAGCTTGGGACACAGATTTTTGTTATTGTTTGTTGCTGAAGTTGGTGGAAGAGTTCGTGGACTTGAGTTGTGTCGAACTGAGTTGAGTTAAAGTTTGTCTACTGGGGTGATTGTCGATTGTTGGTTTTGGGGTGTTTGTTGGTTTGAGTCAGAAATTTGCTGAGGTGCTGATGTTGAACATGTCGACGTGATATGGTCGAAGGTTATTAAGGTTGACGATCTCAGTGAATTCTTCGGCAAGTGTGCTGACTTTGGCGGTGCCGTTGGGGTAGAGTGTAATGATCCTTGCCAGTTGGTATGGAGTTTTCGGCCGAGTTTGCCAATGGGTCCTTGGTACCAAAGAGCATGATCATTGATGCTGTATTTCAGAATGTTGTGCTGGGATGCTTGTTGGTCATGTCAAGCTTTTCTTTGTTTTTAGATGGCGTGAAGTGTCCAGAGGGCATTGATCAAAGTTCGTTGAGACGTTCGAGTTGCTGAAGCCGTTCTTGAATTGCATGTTGTGTGTCGAGATTATACTTGACGGTGACTCGCATGCTTGGGACGATGAATTCGATTGGCATGATGGCTTCTGTTCTGAAGGTGAGTTTGAATGGCGTCATTTCGGTGGTGACTTTATATGCAGTTCGATAGGCCCAAAGTACGTTGAGAAGTTTGTCGTCCCAGTCTTTGCTAGAATCATTGATGACTTTTCTTGAGGATGGTCTTCAGTGTTTTTTTCGTTGCTTCTGCTTGACCGTTGCCTTGAGGATAGTATGGTGTTGATGTTTTGTGTCAAATTTTGAACTTGGTGGCAAGATGTTTGATCGTTTGTTGATGAAGTGGGTGCTTTTGTTAGTGACGAGTTCGAGTGGTGTTCCAAAACAAGTGATGATATTTTCGTAGATGAAGGTTGCTGTTGCTTTGGCTCTGGCATCTTAGAGAGGTATTGATTCAGCCCACTTGGTAGTCTAATCGGTGGCGACGACGATGTACTGATGGGTGCTGACTGATGGGTGCTGACTTGGGGTCTGACGAAGTCAAGTCCCCATTTCTAAAATGGTGCCATCAGGAATGTTGGGTTGAGTTGTTGAGTCTGAGTTTTCGGTGGTAATCAGTGTCGTTGACATGTGTCGCAGCATTTGGAGAATTCTTCAGTGTCATGCCAGAGTGTTGGCCACTAGAGGCCGGCTTGAAGAATCTTCCAAGTTGTGGTGTCGGCAGCGAAGTGTCCACTGGAAGGTCCATTGTGAGCTTCCTTGATGATTTGAGTTGTGCTTGGCAGCTTGATGCATCGGCAAAGAATGTTGTCAATGCCGAGTTTGTAGAGAGTGCCTCCGATGACTGAGTATCAGCGGGTTTTAGCAACAAAAGTCTTCGTTTGGTCAGACATGGTGTACTGATCTGGAACTTTTGCTGAGTTTAGGTAACTGAAGATGTCGTCGAGCCAGGTTGCCGGTATGGAAACTCAGAATAGGTTTGAGTCAGGTAAGTCGTTAGTGAGTCTTTCGGGTTTGTTGCCAGTGGTGATCCAGCTGAGATAGTCTGCTTGCTTGTGATTTTTTCTGGGTTTGTAGACGATCTCGAAGTTGTATTCTTGTAGTAAAAGGAACCATCTTGATATTCAACCAGATAGT